GCTGATCTGCTTCGGATGGCCCTGGAAGGCGATTGACAAAGCTTGTCGGTGTAGAAAGACATCCAGAAGTGCCTCCCTCCTGATCCAGGTTTCTTTGGCTGTCACCATCTCATCGTGCGTCGAGGCAATTCTCTGTCGATGCACCTTCTCTTTCCTCAGCTTCCGCAGCAAAAGCATGCGGTTGATTGGATCCATCCGCTTCCTGATGAAGCCTGCTTTGGACTTGATAATTGGCAATGCACGAAGTTCCTCTGCTGACTTGATGACAGCCAGGCGATCCAGCCATTGCCCGGCCGACACCAGAAGCAGTGGGAAAGCTTGCATGGCAATATCCCGGTATGGGTTCTGTCCACCGACTCGCCTCTGGTCTGGATGGGCTGTCAGCCAAACCATGAAGAAAAACACATCTTCCACCGATGCCTGTGCTGGATCTGAACAAATGCATCTACCCAGCCATGTTGTTTTTCGTAGTCGTTGCCACAACAACAATGCAGCAGGAGCAAAGCCTAAGAAACTCGCCCAATCATCAACGACAAAGCCCTGCTCATTTATGTGCAGCGTGCAATGCTTCAAGGTTCCATCTGCAGCAAGAATATTTGCAGACATCTCTAAGAATGCCCCGCCTGCTGCTACGGCAGCTTTCAAGGCAAGCGAGATCATGCCAAGGAAAAGGGAAAGAGCACGAACTTTGCATTGTGCAGCAAGGGGTCTGTTCACACAACAGAAAAGCAGGTATATCAAATATGCCCTGGACTCCATCGTGTGCTCGTAGAAGCCACCTGTTTCCTTTTTTGCAGTCAGGTCTCTGTAATGTACTTGCTCCTCAGGGCATTGCATGTCCTGAAGAAGTCTGCCATAGCGATTCTGACGGAAATTTCGAATGTGTTTGTAAGGCTCGCTTGCCACTTCCAAATAGGCATGCACTCTGCTATGAATCCACTCGGGAGGGCTGTGGCTCTGGCCTTCATGTCTCATATAAGCTCGTTGCTCCCACTCTGCAACTGTGGCCACAGCGAAAGGCAGCCGAAACTTTGTTTCACCAGCATCACCTGCTGCTGGAACAGCTGCCCCAGGCTCGTCTTCTGACTCATCATCTCTCGGCACAAGCATGCTACTTGAGGTCGGGATGCCAGGGCTTATCGGCTGGGTATGGGAGAGCTGAGTAGTGCTCTATGTCCGCTCCTTACAAGGATACCCTCGACAAAAAGAAGTCCTTCCTAGCTGGAACTAGCTCCATGGTTCTCGGAACAAATCGGCTTGAGTTGCGGCATGCACATGTCCAGTCCTTTCTTGACGAGGCTACAGACCCTTCAAATCAAACCCAGTCCCAGCGAGCCTGATTCGCCCCACGATGGCCACATCGGCCAAGGACGGC